TGATTGATTATTTTCCTTCTTTAGTCTTGGAATAAGTCTTCTCTTAGCTAAAGAAATTTCAGTAATAATAACTACATCCAACTTAACATTTGCATTAAGACTATGCTACACTATTGAATACGAACATGCAGGTTTTGGATTTATAATTCTGCCATGTGACTTTAGCACATAGGGGCTTCCGTTCTAAGTAAGGTCCAAGAAGGGCTCTCTTCTAAACTCAGCTTTGGCTGGTAACAAGTACTCTTCCCTTTGGTTCTCATCAGTTGTCTATAATCTACTCTTACTCAGGTCTGACCTCTGCAAGGATAAGACCTTTTTGGCTATTCTAAACAACCTACTTTTACCTTGTTGAGTATTACTACTAGTACTTAATGGCTGAGAAACTCCAATGGAGATTTGGTCATGAAAATAATATTCATTACATAGTTCTTGTTTATAGAATACATTGTATTTGTCTAATTTTTACAACAACCCTGCAAGGTAGTTATAATTATCCCTATGTTGCAAATGAAGGCATTAAAGCCAAAAAAGATTAGGTAACAATCAATAGTAGCACTTAAATTCAAAGCATGAGGTTTTCACAGCACTAAGCTATCTTCCAAATCTGTTTATTATGCATTCATTTTGTTTTTTTAAATTTGTAGTTAATTAACTTGTTTCTATTCCATAAGCTACTAATCACAGTATCTCTTTGTAAAAGGCTTACGTTACACTCCCGATTACTTTTGTTTCATCTGCATTTCTAAGTTACAATCACCTGTTAGACAAAGATAATGCTCTCCAATTCTTAGGTGTTGTCATTGTGTACTTTCAGTACAAGGCAAGGAATCTAAACACTCTTTATACATACTTTTTAAACTAAACGAATCAATGAAAAAGAGAGATCATAATGAGAACTCCAGATCATTACTATCCATCAAAAGTTGAGCCCAAGATAACCTGAGGTCAGGAGTTTGAGACCAGCCTGACCAATATGATGAAACCCCATTTCTTCTATAAATACAAAAATTAGCCTGGAGTGTTGGTGCACACCTGTAATCCCAGCTACTCCGGAGGCTGAGGTGGGGGCATCTCTTAAACCCAGGAGGCGGAGGCTGCAGTGAGCCAAGATTGCACCACCATACTGCAGCTTGGGGGACAGAGCAAGCCTCCCTCTAAAAATAAAAATAAAAGAAAATAATAGAATTGAGCCCAAGAACGTGAGTCAATATGTATTGACCTATGTCAATACTGCAGAGGTGGTGGAAATACCTGCTACCCAAAGAGGTCAGATCCTCAAAAAGTCTCGCCCAGTGTCACCAATTTGCCAAATAAATGATTTAAGTTATTTGTTTTTCATGATGAGGTGAGCCAATGCAGAGCTAACCTAAATCCTTGCCTCTAAAATGTTTTTTAAAAAATAAATTTTAAAGTTGTTATTTAATTATAGCCAAACACATCCAAAAAGTGGCAATAACAACCAATGTTTTTGTCACCCAGTTTTTAAAAATAGCTTACCTATGTGTTACTCTTTTAGACATTCAGATATTACTAAATATATTTTCTCGCTAAAATGTTAACTGCCAAGATTCAGCCCACAGTCATATTTTTATAGGCAAGTTACATATCCCTGAAAAATTATAGAAATACACAATAACGCCTACATCCCCAGGGCCAAAATCCACAAGCAGCTTCTACAGACCTTGTGCTACAGGAGGCAGCAGTTTTTCCCAACTAAAAAGGACTCGTAAAAATCTCAAAGGAGATGAAAACACCTTTTTAAAACATGAAGCATCAAGCCATCCATTCCTGTAAAAAGGGAAAGGCACCAGTTAAAAATATATCCCATGTTCTTTTCAATCTTGTTTATTGTATTCATAAATAAAAATGTCCTACCATATATTTTATTCATGCATATATCATGAATATTTATTCATATTTATTCAACAGCAACAAGGTTCCCAACAGTACTCTGGCTTTGCCATTTGTATTCATTTGTTTCAGTCTCTATGGACTTGGTTATTATTAACAAAAACCATGCCTGTGAATTACAATTAGGGCTTGGAGAAATTGTATCATCAGTCAAACATTTGGTGAGTGTTTACAACATGCAAGACACTGTGCTAGGCACTGGGCATATTCAAAATAAAAGATAAAATTTATTTAAGATGAGAGTTAAATTGAATACAGTTATTACTATGCATGCTTAATATCATACAGACATCCGACTTCTATAGCCCTTTGAAGACTGAGCTGTAAAAAAAAAAAAAAGAAAAAGAAATTTTAGAAAATCTGAGCTGAAAACAATTTGCCAGTCAGTATTTTGAGATGATTTGCCTTTGAAATTATGTGGTTCTCTCTAGATGTATTCATTCTAGTACCTAGTGTATTGTTGTTCACATTGGCATTCACCAAAATACATTCTAGTTTGAACCGAGCAAAACAAAGGTAACTGGAATTTCTCAGAGCCTTTAATACAGTAATGAGTTTCCTGGACATATTCAACAATGAAGATTTTTAATTTTGTTTTGTTTACAGCATGTCTACTATTAATATCTAACAGAACCTATGTTTGTTTCCATGTTTGTCTTCTCAGGAGTATGGAAGTTCAAAGAGAATTGTTTTTTAATTTTTACATTTTTATTGTTGTTTTTAATCTAAAACAATTTAGATAAGCATGCTGTGAGTCATCAGAATAACTGTCTTACAGCTGAGTAGTGTCGTGCGGTTTTAGTGTCCTCCTTTGCATTTCTGCTTATGAGCAGGTTAATAGCAAGCCAAATGACATCATGCTTTGTTGCACAAGCAAAGGTTCCCAGAGATTTGAATAGAGGAAAGTGGTAGGAAAATGGAATCATTACATTGAGCATGGTTTACAGGCTTGCTGAACTCAAGAGAAAATGTGTAGTAGATAACTTTATGCCAGAGCAGGAGTCTGGAGTTTATATATTATTTCTTCATACAGTCCCTCTCATGGCAGTTCACTAACATTAGCATAGTTACAATTTTAAAGCTTTAAAAAACGATTCTCTTCTTCTTCAACAAATTTATTTATTTTTTATTTTAATTTTTGGAGACAGCGTCTCACTCTATCACTCAGGCTGCAGCACAGTGGCACAATCTCGGCTCACTGCAACCTCCGCTTCCTGGGCTCAACCAGTCCTTCCACCTCAGCCTCCCGAGTAGCTGGGAATACAGGTGCAAGCCACCACACCTGGCTAATTTTTGTAGTTTTTGTATAGATGGGATTCCACCATGTTCCCCAGGCTGATCTTGAACGACTGAGCTCAAGCAATCTACCCACCTCAGCCTCTCAAAGTGCTGGGATTACAGGCGTGAGCCACCGTGCCTGGCTAAAAAACTATTCTCATGTACTGCATTTTGCAGGAAACTACTAAAATTGTTGGCAGAACAAGATAATAAATGATAAACATCATAAAGTATTTCAAATGCTGAGACAATGGCAGTGAGTCAAAGGATTTGTTATGTGAGAAAGCAAAGGGATCATGTAGACAAACACACAAACACATTGTTCTACTATTTAATTTGACATTGACAGCTAAGTTTAAGCAGAACATCAATCATCACATTAATGTTGTAGACATATATTGTAATTTGGTTCTGATTTGTTAATTTTCTTTGGTTTTATTGTCATATGAAAGTTTTCCCTCATCTAATAATTAGGAGTTTCCTTCATAATTAGGAGTTTTTCCTCATCTAATATTTGTATGTGATTTTAAATGATATAATAAAATAATTTAAATCAATATTTAGAGTATTCAATACTCTCCCTCTCTACTCAATGTTGAAAAACACTGATATAGTGAAAAACTCGAGTAAAAAAGGCTTGAGTTCTAACTCAACATTTAAGTCTGAGTCTCAATTTACTCACCTGTAAAACTAGAATAACACTAAAATGACCTTTTCACTGTTGTTGAAGGTACCTTGATCAATGTATGACACATAATAGGAGATCAGTAAATAGTAGCTAATTTTCATCAGTAACACAATGTCAGAATCTGTAACTGTACAGTTTTGTGGCCCAAATCTGAAAATTAGAACCGTTGAGTTGGGCAGCAAAGAGAACCAACCTAATACCAGAAGAATGGTTTAGCCAGTAAGTGCATCATGATTCTCTATATAAAATAAAAATAAATATATATAAATTACCATATATATATATATATAGTACCAAATATATATTTTGGCCAAGTAGACGTGTGTTAAAATCAATATTCAGTGAAGCTGAATGTTATTATCACCATTAGCGACTTAACTTCTGGGATACAAAACTAAATCAGAAGTGTTATTTTTTAAAACTATTATGATTACAATTATATTATTAAAAATTAGACAAATTTTCAGTTTGATATGACAGTTCGGGTACAATAATTTCTTAGCAAAGTTGGCTAAGGTTGTTTTAGAGCCTGCATTTGTGTTATTGGACAGACGCCCCCTTTCAAGTGGCACATATAATAGCAACACTCATCTTTTCTGTGCAAAGCAGAAAATAATTCTCTTTTTTTTTTTTTTTTTTTTTTTTTTGCTTGTCTTTTAACTTCATTAGTATCCAAGACTGGGGAGAGGGATGAGGTGGGAGAGATCAAGAATTGGGGAGCAGATGGGAGGCACTACCTCACTCAGGAGACTCAAGTCCTCACACAAGTTTAAGGTGAAGGAAGCAGGGGCGGAAAAAGACTCCCTGCTCACAACAGTGGCTGAGGGAGAAACTCCTGGCCCAAAGCCAGCTGGACGCAGGGTGACATTGCTCCCCCTTGTAGGCCATCTTAGCTATACCTTTGTAGCTGTGGCCCTAGGCAGAGGAGCCACCTGGGAACTGAACTAAGGCAGGTTCCTTCTTCCAATAGGAGACACAGCTGGGAGGGACTGTGCAGACTGAGCAGGGTCAGGCCAGCTAGCAGCCAGCCAACATTCATGTCCCTCACCAGTCCCGGGAGGGTCCCCAGCCGAGCACAGATCTGATCAGTGCCTGCCAGCAGCTTGAGCTGGAATGCCCTGGGAGGGTCCGTAGAAGGTGGTCACTTGAGGAGCTTCACAGAGAGGCAGATGTCAGCACAGAGGAAGATGCTCATGAAGTCACAGCCTACCTCCTGAGCAATCTGGGAGATCAGGTGGCCCTTTAGACCAATCAGGAACCTCACATAAGATTCTTTGGGCACCAGAAGCTTCTGTTGGATAACCAGCTCCCCACTAGGTCCTTCCTCCCACACTGCCGTCTTCTGCTGCACATTGTAAGGCACCTCTTGGGACAGGTGCTCTAGGAGCTTCTCTCGATGTTGGCACAGATCTCTTCTGGTGTCTGGTTAGTAAGGACTTCACTGTGGTACTCCCAGAGCCCTGGCTAGGCCCCCTGTGCCAGGAGGTATTGCTTTAGTGTTTTCACATCCTCCTGCCTTAGGGCTGACAACATGAAGAGTGCCTGGAAGTGGGGCCAGCCAGTCCTCTGAGGGCTTCCCACAGATTGTGTGTTTGGGTCCTTAACTGCTGGGCTGGGGCAATGGGTGCCAGGGTGTGAGTGGAAGGCCTGCCTCATCTTGAGCTTTTTGCCATTGACCATACCTTCAGGGAGGGCTGCCCTGAGCTCCAGGAGAACTGACTTCTGCTTCAGACAATCTACCTTGTTCATGATCAGGATACTAGGGATCTAGGAGAACTTGGTCAAGCACCTGAGCAACTGGGGTTTGAGCTGGTTCCCAGTCCACTTGTCAGAGACATCCACAGGAACCACAGCAAGATCAGCAGACTCCATGCTCTTCCATGGATCTTCCAACAAACGGAGCCCCAGGTGGTGCCTCTTCTGTTTAACAGGACCGATAATGCCAGGTACGTCAAGTAGAATCACCTGGGTCTCCTCTGCGCTGACTCCCAGAGCGTGGCAGCGAGTGTATGCAACTTCTTGGAAACAGGGAACACCTTTTGGCCCAGTAGCTGGTTGGAGAGTGTTGACTTCCCTGCATTCCGGCTTCCGGGAGGACCACTCGTAGGACCCGGGGATTCTCAGGCGTATCAGGGTGATGGACCAAGCGGCGATCCTGCTCATCTCTGTGCATGGACACTGCAGGGACACAAGGAGTCACCGAGCTGTCAGGCTGAAGGAATCTGAGGACTGTGAGAAGCCGAGGCCAAGCTGGGACGGAGAAAGCGGAGCCCGCCACGCAGGACACGCACCTCCGTCGATAGCCTAAGAGTGAGGTAAAGGGATCACCCGCTCCCTTACCACAGAGGGTCCACCTGCCAGACGTTTAACGCTGCCCCAACGAGCCCAGCCCGGCGCCAGCCACGGGCAGCCATTACCACCGCAAGGCGTTCCGGAAAATAATTTTCGGTAACGTTTCCTGGAAGAAATTTTGTACCTAGGACTCACAGCTTGGGTAAGTCTAAAATATCCTTTATCTTTACATGATTAACAATCTATAACAATCATTTTAACAAGGTTTTAAAGTATTTTTTGAACCCATAGACTCAAAACCCAGAGAAAGTATCTTAAAGCACTCTTGCAAAGGCTATTGCTTTGGAGTTAGGGGAGTGAGTACAAGGTATGTTTTGAGTGACTTCTTTAAGATTCTCTTCTTTCCATCACGGGCTTTATCTTTTTTTTTTTTTTTTTTTTTTTTTTTTTTTTTAGTTTTTCTTTGGCTATCATATACGTTATCATGAGTGTTACTATACATAATTTTGGAGCTTTTTATTTTTGTGAAGTTTGTAGGTAGTAACACTGAATTATTTTAATTCATTCTTGCAAGGTTTAAAGTAATCCCAAATAGGGACTTTTTTTTTTTTTCCTGAAAAATGGCCTATGTGGAATTAAATAACTACAATTAAATGCTCTCCTAAAAGTTTATTTTTGTTTAATGTTTAAAATTTCACTTCACAAAACAACAACCCTTAAGATTGTATCATGGTGTAATTTTAAGAATATCTGTGTTTTTCTGTCTTATGTTGTTATTTTTATGTTTATGAACACCTGTTTATAAATTCTTATTTTTTCTAAAGTTATCTAGGAATGCCTACCTTAAAATATGTCCACAATTTTTTATCTCTAATTTAAAAATCCAAAAGCTCTGAGAAATGAAAATATTTTCATAACTCATTTGGCCACAGAATCTGTGTAATCTGATGTGAGGCTTAGTGGGAGTGGTCACACATTTTACCATATAGTAATGTGCTACATCATCTTGTTTTCTAGCCCCCCCAGCCCTGGAAAGGTTGATAAATATGGTACCTGCAATCTATTACCTTCCTAAAATCTGAGTAGCTCTGCATTTCAAAAGACATATGGTCCTAAGGAATTCAGATAAGGAAGCGGGGTGCCGTGGCTCATGCCTGTAATCCCAGCACTTTGGGAAGCTGAGGTGAGTGGATCACCTGAGGTCAGGAGTTTGAGACCAGCCTGGCCAACATAATGAAATGCTGTCTCTACTGAAAATACAAAAAATTAGCTGGGTGGGGTGGCAGGTGCCTGTAATCCCAGCTACTAGGGAGGCTGAAGCAGGAGAATCACTTAAACCTGTGAGGCAGAGGCTGCAGTGAGCCGAGATCACACCATTGCACTCCAGCCTGGGCAACAAGAGCAAAACTCCCTCTCAAAAAAAAAAAAAAAAAAAAAAATTCAGATAAGGGATTATAAATCTATTTTCATAGTAACTGTCAATCCTATTTTTCTACTTAACTGTTTGAAAGCTCTTAATAATTGAGGAACTTTTTGGAAGATAAAATTAGTAAGTTTATAATCATTATTATAACATTTTACTCTCAGAATAGTAAAAATGTATTTATAGTTCAGCTGTCAAAACTTGAACAAACCACATAAATGAATTTTTGCTCAAAGTAGTATCTGGAATACTTACATTATGAGCATTATAATAGAAATCTATGTATTTGTAGTATATAATATATATAATATAGTCACTTATATTTGAAAGTGAATGTTCACATATAAATATTAATCAGAATAACAAACCTTGTTTGTGTTACTGACATTATATTATGGAGTAGGCATTCAACTATTCTGCCTTTCAAAAGACAAGGTCAAGTCTGAAACTGAAACCAAATAGTAAATTTTGTTTGAATTTGGAGGCTGAGGCCAGACTTCAATGTATCCTAGACTATATATATGTGTGTATATTTTCCAATTTTACTCAAAGACCATTATCACATTTTTAAAAGTGGTTTAGATTCTCATAAAAATTTAACAGAATGAGCATGGTAATATTGGAACTTACCTTTCAGAAGTCAAATTTTGAAGCTCTCTTCTTCAGGACTTTTTAAGCCTAAAATTTAGAATTATTATTATTTGAGACAGAGTCTCACTCTTGCCTCGGCTGGGGTGCAGTGGCACAATCTCGGCTCACTGCAACCTATGCCTCCTGGATTCAAGTGATTCACCTGCCTCAATCTCCCAAGTAGCTGGGATTACAGGTGCCCACCACCATGCCCAGCTAATTTTTGTATTTTTAGCAGAGATGGGGTTTCACTATGTTGGCCAGGCTGGTCTTGAACTCCTGACCTCAAGTAATCCCCCCACTTTGGCCTCCCAAGGTGCTGGGATTACAGGCGTGAGCCACCGTGCCCTAGAATTATTATTATTTTTTAATCAAGAGAAAAAAATAAGACTTTCTCTATGTGGAGGGCTATAGTATATGTGTGGGTAGTGGTAGAGGAGGTCCATGGATAAGCTTCCTTTGGTGGATGGAACGTAGGCTTTGCATCCACGTGATCTGTATTCAAATTTCAGTTTCTGTGTTTTCTAGCTGAATAGTCTTGGAAAATTGGCTTATTTTCTAGACAGTTGTTGTCTTCACTTTTAAAACTGAGGCGACAAAAACTACCTTTCAGGGTTGTTGATACTGCTAAATGGATTAATTTATATAGCTGTCTAACACAGAGTTACACTATGCGTAATACAGAATTCACTATCACCTAGTAAGCAGTAAAACAGTGCATGGCTCTTCCTCAAGGGAAAAGTTTCGAAGAGGGAAAATGTAAGTATGTGATTAAACCTCTGCCTTTACTAAACAGACTAAATACATAACCGAGTGCCTCTTCTGTCTTTACTTTAATCTTGTGCTAGTTACTATGCTCGTCCACATATAGAATTATCTGGATGCCAAAAATATCTGAGCTCCTCAAGATGAAAAGTGTTGTCACAGAGAAAAGTGTTGTTCTAACCAGTTCTTCCAGCCACATCAAATATGGGCCACACATGAAAGTTTGAGCTCACCATCCCCCTCTCACTTTTTCCCCTTAGCTTTCAGCTAAGACAGCTGCTGGATTCAGCCCTTTTCAGTGTTCCTCAGAGAGCTGTGAGAACTGAACCAGAGCGGCTACACACCAGCCATTTCTCCATGACCAGGAAAATCCCTGAGCATGCCTGCAACACTAATCATATCTTTAGAAAAATAGATGAGTAGGGGAGCACTTTGCAGTGGGTGGGCTGGAATTCATCCCATTCTGCATGAATTTCAGAGTATTCCCTTTGAAGTTCAGTCCCTGACCTACAGTTTGGAAGAACTGGGAATGTTTCTATTACCGTTATCATCAGCAGTGGTTTTATTGTTACTTACCCTATGAAAGATATTTCTTCTTATCTTGAAATAGGGCATATGAAGTATGAGTAACAATTCTTGAAAGTAAAAATATGCTTCTCATTTTTCTAGGATAATGCTTAGAAAATGTGATGGTCATTTTAAGACAAAGCTTACTTAAGTGATATAACATTTTAAAGAATTCATTTTTTAAAAAAACTCATTTTTGGTTCATCACTTAAGTGTTTTTATGCTGAGTTGTCACATATTATTTATTTAGTTAATTTGCTTATTATTTTGCCATGATTGTATCCTCTTCTGGTATTTTCACTTTTTACATGAAATACCGATTATATTTCTTAAGTGCCAGGAAAAATGAGAACACTTTAAAGAGCTGGAAGTATACTGTATCTCACGCTTGATGCCAGTAAAAACAACCCACAAACCAATAAAGAGAAGGCAAAGGAAATGCAATGTCTGCAATGAGTCATTTAACAATATGGTAGTCAAAGGTAAAAGAGGAAGGCTTGGATTGTTTACACTCTTCTTCGGCTCTTCAAATACCGCCATCAAAGCCCTTCAACTTTAGCAGATTATTATTTGTATCTACTTTTTTGTTTGTTTTTTGATTTTTGGTTTTTTTGAGATGGAGTTTTGCTCTTGTTGCCCAGGCTGGAGTGCGATGGTATGATCTTGGCTCACAGCAACCGTCACCTACTGGGTTTAGGAGATTCTCTTGCCTCAGCCTCCTGAGTTGCTGGGATTACAGGCGTGTGCCACAGCGCCTGGCTAATTTTGTATTTTTAGTAGAGACAGGATTTCTCCTGCTAGTCTCAAACACCTGACCTCAGATGATCTGCCCGCCTCGGCCTCCCAAAGTGCTGGGATTACAGGCGTGAGCCACTGCATCTACTTTTTTAAGGAAAGAGATCAGGCAACGTGGGTTTCCTTTACTTCCGCCACCCTGAATTTCTTCAGATTGCTAAGGATGAAGAGACTAATTTCCTCTCCAGGGACGACTCCACACCTATGCCCTGCTCTCATTCTTTCCAGTCTTCTCCATGGTCTTGCCCTCCATCAGTCATCCTTCTATGAAGTGTCAATCACTCTTGATTTTCCTTGATTTCTCCTTGACCTATTAATGGAAACATGCTTGATGTTTCATATTCCATTTTAATGTCTCTTTTGCTTTTCTAACTTCATTACCAAATGGTCACTTTAAATCTAGGTCCTCCACTCTACAAAAATGGTTCTCCCAAAGGTCACCAGTGGCCTCCCTAAATGGCCTTTTCTCTGTTCTTACCCTTTCTGATCTCAGCAGCATCTGACACTGTTGACACCGACTCTCTGTTGCATTCTCTTCCTTGAAGTCTTAGATTCCCCTCTGAACCTTTAACCTCATTATGCTTTACAGATTTTCCTTCACTTCTGCTCATTAAATGAAACACTACTAAGAGTCTTCCTTGACCCTCTCTTTATCTTACTCTCTTTGGTGCTCTTTCTTGGAAAGCTTATTTATTCAACTTTTTCAACTTTCTGCAATGACTTCAAAATATATGTTTCCAATCTTGACTTCTCTCCTAATTCAGCATCTGAATTTCCAGTTGCCTGCTAAACACTGCCATATCTCCAAAACAATTAAAATTTTAAATTTGAAAGCCAAATGAAGCATCTCATCTTTGAAACGTTCTCATCTAAGTTAATACATTTTCAGCCTCCAAGAGCATTTGGGAGCACTTTCAGCCTCTCCCTTTCTCTTACACTCTGCATGAA